GTCGGGGCAGTCGGTGGTTGTGCGTACGCAACACATGTCCCAGCCATCTCAACTGATGAAGTTTCACTACTTCATCAATCGATTTGCCATCCTTAACTAGTACCCGTTTCCTAACAACTGCATTATTTACCCGGTGGTCCCAGAATATACGAGCAATGCTTCGAAGACACCTATGATCGAAAACTAGCAGCCTACGAATATCCTCTACTCTTACCGGCCATGTTTCACTGCCATAAAGTAGGATCGAACGAACTGACGGAATCTAAACCACTAGGATGATATCGTGAATGAGCACTGACGCTGAAGAATTCCATACTGAAATGAAACAACTGTCCAGTTCTTTATGATTTTTAGTAAAAGAAACTATAAAACTTAACAATCTTTGAAAATACTTATTTAATTTTGAGAAAAACCATTGAAAATCAGGGATCATTTGAATGAATTAGCTAATTTGATACTAAACAATCGGGATAGAAATGAAAACAAACAAACAAAACCGGATGACTGATAGGATAATGTAACTCCGCCTGTAGCTCCTCCAGGGGCTACTGCCGGTCCCAAGCCCGGGTAAAGGAGGAGGGTTGGGCATGGGGTTAGCGACCCCATCCCGTAGAAAATCAACTCGCTAAAAAAACGCTAACCAGAAACAATTTTTATAGGTACATGGAATGTCCGGACAATGTGGGAGACCGGAAGAGTCTTCCAAATTGCTGCACAAATGAGAAAATACAACCTGGAGGTTCTTGGAATCAGCGAAACACATTGGACGCAGGTTGGACAACAACGACTGTCTTCAGGAGAACTTCTGTTATACTCCGGTCATGAAGAAGAAAATGCCCCACATACACAAGGAGTTGCATTGATGCTGTCCAGAAAAGCACAAAATACACTTATTGGATGGGAACCTCATGGACCAAGGATCATCAAAGCCTCCTTCAAAACAAAGAGAGAGGGCATTATAATGAACGTCATCCAATGCTATGCGCCTACCAACGACTACGATGAAGACGCTAAAGACCAATTCTACGATAGGCTGCAGTCGATCGTCGAGAAGTGCCCAACAAAGGACCTGATAATTCTGATGGGAGATCTCAATGCTAAGGTTGGAATGGACAACACTGGATACGAAGACGTCATGGGACAACATGGACTGGGAGAGAGGAACGAAAATGGTGAGAGATTTGCAAACCTATGTGCCTTCAATAAACTGGTCATAGGTGGCACCATATTCCCACACAAAAACACACAAAGCCACTTGGATTTCACCGGATCACATTACACAGAATCAAATCGACCATATCTGCATCAACAAAACGTTCAGGAGGACGATGGAGGATGTGAGAACCAGAAGAGGAGCTGATATAGCATCCGATCATCATTTGCTGGTCGCCAAGATGAAACTAAAACTCAAGAAGCACTGGACAACTGTGCGGACAACATCATAAAAGTTTAATACGGCCTTTCTTCGAGATGCTGACAAACTCAACAAATTCAACATAGCCCTCAGAAACAGGTTCACGGTCTTTCATGATCTACTCAATGGAGAGGGAACTACCATGGAGAGCAACTGGAAAGGTATCAAGGAGGCAATCGTTTCAGCATGTCAGGAGGTTCTGGGCCAAAAGAAGCACCATCACAAGGAATGGATCACTGTTGGTACACTGGATAAAATTGAAGAAAGAAGGAACAAGAAGGCAGCAATGAATATCAGCCGAACAAGAGCGGAAAAAGCCAAGGCACAAGCCGAATACACAGAGGCAAACAAGCAAGTGAAGAGGAGCATCAGGACCGACAAACGTAAATATGTGGAAGATTTAGCGATGACAGCGGAAAAGGCTGCAAGAGAGGGAAACATGAGACAACTGTATGATACAACAAAGAAACTTACTGGAAATCACCGTAAGCCAGAAAGATCAGTGAAAAGCAAGGAAGGCAAAGTAATCACCGACATTGAAGAACAACGAAACAGGTGGGTAGAACACTTCAAAGAACTCTTGAATCGACCAGCTCCACTGAACCCACCCAACATCGAGGCAGCACCCACGGACCTCCCAATCGATATTGGCCCACCAACAATTGAAGAAATCAGCATGGCCATTAGACAAGTCAAGAGTGGCAAAGCAGCGGGACCAGACAACATCCCGGCAGAGACACTGAAAGCAAATGTAACAGCAACTGCCAAGATACTACACATCCTCTTCAGTAAGATTTGGGACGAAGAACAAGTACCAACAGACTGGAAAGAAGGACTTCTCATCAAGATACCAAAGAAAGGCGATCTGAGCAAGTGCGACAACTACAGGGGCATCACTCTCCTTTCAATACCAGGAAAAGTCTTCAACCGAGTATTGTTAAACAGGATGAAGGATTCCGTGGACGTCCAACTTCGAGATCAACAAGCTGGATTTCGTAAGGATAGATCGTGCACAGATCAAATCGCAACTCTGCGGATCATTGTGGAACAATCAATCGAATGGAATTCATCACTCTACATCAACTTCATCGACTACGAGAAGGCATTTGATAGCGTGGACAGGACGACACTATGGAAGCTTCTTTGACACTATGACGTGCCTGAGAAGATAGTCAATATCATACGGAACTCCTATGATGGACTAAACTGCCAAATCGTCCACGGAGGACAACTCACCGACTCGTTTGAAGTAAAGACCGGTGTTAGGCAAGGTTGCTTACTCTCACCCTTTCTCTTTCTCCTGGTCATCGACTGGATCATGTAGACGTCAACATCAGGAGGAAATCACGGGATACAGTGGACAGGCAGGATGCAGCTTGATGATTTAGACTTCGCGGATGATCTGGCTCTTCTATCACAAACGCAACAACAAATGCAGAAGAAAACGACCAGTGTAGCAGCAGCCTCAACAGCAGTAGGTCTCAATATAAACAAAGGGAAAAGCAAGACTCTCCGATACAACACAATATGCACCAATCCAATTACACTTGACGGAGAAGCTTTGGATGATGTAGAAACCTTTACATATCTGGGCAGCATCATTGATGAACACGGTGGATCAGATGCAGATGTGAGGGCGAGGATCGGCAAAGCAAGAGCAGCATACCTACAGCTGAAAAACATCTGGAGCTCAAAACAATTGTCAACCAACACCAAGGTTAGAATTTTCAATACAAATGTCAAGACAGTTCTACTGTATGGGGCGGAGACGTGGAGAACTGCGAAAGCCACCATCCAGAAGATACAAGTGTTTATTAACAATTGTCTACGCAAGATACTTCGTATCCGATGGCCAGACACTATCAGCAACAAGTTACTGTGGGAGAGAACAAACCAGATTCCAGCAGAGGAAGAAATCAGGAGGAAGCGCTGGAAGTGGATTGGGCACACCTTGAGGAAATCACCTGATTGCGTCACAAGACAAGCCCTCACATGGAATCCTGAAGGTCAAAGGAGAAGAGGAAGACCAAAGAACACATTACGCTGAGAAATAGAGACAGATATGAGAAGAATGAACAAAAAATGGATTGAACTAGAAAAGGAAGCCCAGGACAGAGTGGGTTGGAGAATGCTGGTCGGCGGCCTTTGCTCCATTGGGAGTAACAGGCGTAAGTAAGTAAGTAAGATAGGATAATGTGAAACCAAATATTGTATTTCTCTGTATTTACGATTTTGAATACATTCAGTTGAACTGTTTTGATAATTCCAGGAGGCTATTGACTCCCAGAGTAGTCTAGCTGTATGTGGACTAGTGATCCATGGGAATTTAGGTATTTATCAAAATTAATATCTGTATCTTACGAGTAAAAAGTCGATTAACATGTGCTTGAGCATGTTAAAGGTCTCAATATTTCCTACCAGTCAGTTATATGCAGTGTCAAACCTGGCACATATATGTATCATTTGAAGTTGCCATATCATTTTAGAACAACGAGACAAATGCTAGAGCAGTGGAAATAGTAACAGTATCAATGTGATAGTATTATGACTCACGGTATTCCAGACTGATACATGAATTTCCTGTATACAAGCTCATAACTGGCTACTGAATAAGATAACCCAGAGTGAATATGTAAGTTTTTTAGGGCTAAATCGAACTAAATGCATAAGCATTTGTTTATGAATATATAAGTAGCTACTCTTTAGAAAATGAAACCGTTTGTTGGCCAACAACGTGTTTTGTCATTAGATTTGTGATTGACTAAATGTAGCCTCCGCATATGGAAACTTTTAATTGACCTATTGTATCAAATATAAGGAAAGGTAATACTATTCGAGGATGAAATACGAATTGTTGGAATGAAAAGTGTTAAATGATTACGAAACTCATGGTCTATGAGAGATCAACGAGAAAACACATCTACGCCATCACAACTGATTCCGGAGCATCACACAACGTCTACAATCACTGGTTACGATAATGCCAAGGACCCCAACCAAGAAGTCTGAAGCTACCAATGTGTCTCTATCCTACTGTCAATGAATAAGTAGACTAATGTCAAGTGTTGGTCTAACTGTCCCTGGCTTTCTTCGGATGAGCTTATGCACATTACACTTCAAGTTAGTCGGTGGGTGGGTATATGTAATGTATATCACAACCTTCTTAAATGGTGAAATTTAGTAGTTTGTCATTCAATTTACCATCTTTACCTAGTACCCTGAGTCAAACCTCATCCCTGATCATTTGGTGGTTTCTATATAAGCGAACAAAGTTTACAAGACACATATAATCAAATAGTAGTAACCTGCGAATACCCATTATTTTTAAAGATCACATTCCATAACCGTAAAGAAATATGGCGATAACTATTGCTCGCTATACTGATACTCTGATCAGAAAACGCGTATCTCATCTACGCTATAAGCAAGACAAGTTGGCAGAATCCAACGGAGCTTTCTGAAATGTTGTCAGCTGGATGTATCTTCATCTCAGAGTTGATGTTCACGAATCCCAAACAGGACGAAACGTGCTTCAAACTGGATTCCCCTGTTAGCCAATATCCATCTTTGCTTAAAACAAATTCTCTTTAAATTAGATTTAATATTTTATTTATCAATTGAATAGATGACAGGAAAAGAGATAAAGTCAATTAATTTTTGATTAAACTGAGAAAATAAATGACTCTTTTCTTTAAAAAAAAAGAAAAAAAAGGAAAAATAAATCAGTTGCTGTAGTGAGTGAAAAAAAGTGAGAGGAAAATGATTAATTATTAAAATTTCTGTGCGCCATTTATGAGTGTATAAATATAAATGGGGGAGAATTAAGGGTAGAGGGAGGGGGACAAAACGGAGTAAGTACCATTATTATTACTATTATTATTCCTATACAGAATTTGTCCTATTTTTGTGGGTAGGGGGACCATATTAATATCAAGGGAATTAAAAAATAAATAAATAATAATATTAATAAGGACAAATGAAATTATGTCAGAAAATTTTAAAAAAATGGATAGGGGGGAAGGGAAACGATAGAGACGCCTAATACACAAAATAAAACGTAGTTCTTAGTAATAATAATAATCAATACACTAGTGGATTTCTCTACACAAATGGAAAATATCCATCCATGCAGAAAAAGGTTCTTTCAAGGTATAAAAGGAAAAAGGCAAATATGAATGTATCTATCAGAGAATAATTGATAATAATGATTACTATGATTAAGTAGTAATAGTAGTAGTATATAAATATTTACAGTGAATTTATCTTGTTGAAAAAAAGGAGAAAACAATAGAAATACAAGTAAAAGGCAAAAAAAGTAATCTATAAAAAAACTGTTAGAAGTTGAAGAACAGTACACACAATGTGTGTGTGTGTGTGAAAACTGGGCTAGAATTGTTGTGCTTGCCATCGGGATTAATGATTGGTATTTATATTGTGCAAAGTGATCATTTTGAAACATTGTCAGACAATGTTTCTTTTTTTTCTTTATCCAAAGGTAAAACACTGCGATCATTGTAATTTTCACTAAGTTCTTTATCTAGTCCATCATGATCATCGCCGTTATCACCATCGTCATCGCTTAAATCAACTTCGGCCTGTAAGAAAAAATATGAGGATAAACAATTATACACATAATTGATTGACCAAGAAGTAGTGACCAGTGTCATGCTTGTATATTCCTGATAAAATTTTTATCGATGAAGTTGTAATTTGTCTACTAGTCTAAATCAATGGACATCGCATGGACAACGTTGAAGAGTTTGATGGTTGGAGGTAGTTAACAGGAAATACTGCTACATCTAAGTTTCTTGCTAGTTGGTATTTGTCAACATGGCGATCCTGTAATCTTTAAGGAGCTAAAACTAACCGTTAAGTTGGAACCCGCACTACCCAACTTAGCTTCATAGTCCGAGGCGGCTGAAATGGCTGATCGGTAGTATTTCAGACTGTGAAGCTAGATAAAGCAGATTTGAATCCACCAAGTAACACCGATCTCCTCAAGATTACAAGTACATCTAGTTGTGACAGGGCCAATAAGCATGAAGCTTTGGTCAAGCTGGGGTTTTCTATCTACTGTATTCAATCACTGACTGCCTCAATACTGCCATTAAGTCACAAGTAGTTAAGCAAAAATGCTGGAAGTAGACCATTGAAATTTGGGATTAATAATTACTTATTTCTAATCAGACTGAAAAATATAATATATTTGAAAGAGTTTTCTGGAGATTAGTTTAATTAGTAGATAGTATTTGTCAAAGACTGATCTCATCTTAGGTTTCATTGAAAACCGAGGAGAACCGGATAGCTAATTCGTCCGTACCCACAACATTCACGAGGGACCGAATCCAAGACCTTCGGCCCTCGAGGCGAACGCTTATCCATTACAATCACTAGCCCGGCGTTCAAATGCATGATTCCAACTTCAATTATTTCGGGACACAACGCGACAATCATAAAATGCTACTGGTGACATCTATTTCACATGTTTGAACTTAACAACTTCTTACTAAGACTTCAGAAGCATCTTGAAGTCAATCATTAGTGAGTTGATTATTATAACTTATTTCAAGGAGTTTTGTAGAGATTGATTTGATTCGAACTCTAGAGCAGCGGTTCTAATGGTTATGTGTTTATTATGAAAACTGGAAGTATTGTATTCGGTCCATAGTGGGTTGTAGAGAAGTTTTATACCCGGACGAAACAATTGTCTAGTGGTTTCTGGTTTCCAATGATGGTCTACACTAAAGTTACTTCATGATGTAACTTGTGAAACTCATCAATCTGAACAGACAAACTCCTTATACTAATAATGAAAGTTTTGTGGTTAAAATATTTAGTTCAAAGAACGAAACATTACTAAGTGTCTCTCAACATTCATCCAAACAGATTAGATAGTTCAAACCCTGTGCTCCACTATCCGAGATTTGATGAATCAAATACTAGTGTTAATACTTAAATAACTTACCACCTAGTAAATGGAAGTACAGAGGTATGATTTTTATCATCAGTATAAGGGAGATTGTTGAATGATATTCAGATTGCAAACCGAGCTAAGTTAAACAATCATTGAAAATTAGGTAGCATTGGATAATTGTTTGTCTTAGTATCAGATTTCTCAGTGGCACTAGGCATCCAGGACCTTCAGGTCTCGTAGAAAGTGTTTAACTTTTAGACCACTGAGCCGAGGGAAGATTCAAGGAGTTTACATATCAGACAAACGATAAATGTATACAATTTAAAAACAGGTGCCCATTTTTTTCAAAAAAATAAAACTATCGGTTAAGGGCTCTGGCTCAAGACTGGTAGGTCATGGGTTCGAATCTCGCAAGTGCGGGATCGTGGATGCGCACTGCTGAGGAGTCCCATAATAGGACGAAAAAGCCGTCCAGTGCTTCCAGGTTTTCGATGGTGGTCTAGCTTCAATTGACTCATGATTTCAACTTTGAAAAATACTGAAATCTCCACAAAACCCCTTCTGAATAAAACTTACCTCTGTTATACTGGATATTGTAGTACATGTGGATGTCATAAATACTTTTGAATTTGGTGTACATAATTGTGAATTTAAATTATTTTTTTCAATTGTAAATGATTGATCAGGTAAATGATGAACTAATGAACGAACTCGTTCAACTGATGGATTTTCTTCATTTGTTATATTATTATTGTCATCATTAGAAATGATTAATTTACTACAACTTCCATGTAAAGAAGTAATAGTAATAGGTAGTGGTAATGGAGAAGATGTTAAAGAGGCTGGATTTGGAGCAGAAATATCATATGTTGTAAATTGAATAGGAATAGGTTGTTTTTGATACTGTTGTTGTTGTTGTTTTCTTAACCGACTGCATACACGTCGAACATGATATTCTTTATCACTTAAACTATCAATCATATGTGATTGTAGTTCATTTGCTAAATTCTCGATACTCTATTAAAGGACATAGAGATAATGATAATCAAGATGATGAAATTAATTTGAACTATATGACAGATAGATAAAGAAACAAACGACAAAATGGTAGACAAACAGACAGATAGACATGGACAATGGGTGGACAAAGGTTGGTTTTATATCAATCCTATGACCGATTTCAAACAAAATGATTCACAAAAGATGAAGTCCTTTTTGTGCTGATCTAGTGCTGTTCAGTCGATCAATTATATGCGACGTACAACCTAGTACATACCTGCATCGGCCCAAGTTGCCAAACCACAATAGCACACCTAGATAAAATTATCAAGGTAAATAGCAAACTACTGGTAGTAGAAAAGACTAGGTACAGAAAGAAGAAAATATGAGATTTAAAGACTCAGGATGACCGAAAAGACAAGAAATGAATGCATGTGTGCCATTACGAATGATTTTGAGCTATATTACCCAAAGTCACTAACAATTTGTTAGGATAATCGCGTGAACTCCAATCATGTAATCTGCACCTACCTCAATGGCTCAGATCACACAGTCAGTGACTTCAATCCATCAGGGATGAGATTTTTAAAATAAGTGAAATGTTAAACCCCGTCACTCCTTATCATTAATTCAAGGGTTGACATAGACCAATTCGAAAGTCACATTTTACATTTAGGAGGACAGAATCGCATCCTAAACATCCTTGAATAGTTGATCACGGAAATCAAAAGAATTTACATTTTGTCAGAGTTTATCCGAAGGACACTGTCGCATACATTGGAGTCAGGTTTGGCTCATGTCGATGGCCCAGATAGAAGAAAATGTGAAAACAATAAAAAAGAAAAGACACTCAGTACAAAACTCACCATATGTGTACGAGTTCCAATAGACGATGAGAGTGGTGATGATGAAGCAGAATAAGATGTCGATCGATAATTTGAATTCAAATCTAACAAACTACTACTATTTCTTCTAGGTTGAGAGAAAGAATAAAGTCTTGAACGATGACGATGATGATAGTAACGAGAACGAAATGGTCGAGAAATTTGATCTGGCATTGTTATACTGGAATTTTTTAAATATGATTCATTTATGATAAAATTCCGTCTACCAGGATATTTTCTTAATTGAATATTTTCATTTTCTAGATTTTCTTTACTGTTGTTGTTGTTATTATGCATAGGTAAATATGATGATGGTGATGTTGTTGTGACAACGGATAACATATGAGTAGTTTGATTCAGGACAGAATTATTATTATTAACATTGATTTTATTACTGTTCGAACGACGTGGTACCGTAGGAATCGATGCAGAATATTTAGGTGAAATTGACGTCGGTAATAATAACAGTCCATAGTCACCTTTATTATTATTACTATTATTATTATTGTTATTATTATTATTATAAGTAGTAGTAGTATTCATTGATTTAATCATTTGGTGTTTATGCCGAAATAAATCTTTACTTGGTGACCATAATGGGCTTACATGTTCAAGGAAAGGAAAATCAACAGTGGTGATTATTTTACAATCTCCATCTTCTATCTTATTCTCTTTTAGTATTTTTAAATTTTGATTTTGTATCGTTTTGTCAGGAGTGAAGTCTATTTGACTGGAAAGAAAAAGTTGAAGAAGAATTATACTGCGCAAATATACAAACACATAATAAAAAGATATTAGAATTTTAAAAGGGGATAGGATTAGGCAAGTCCAGTCATAATTAGAGCTTAAGACGTATATGTGTTTGCCTAACCTGGTACACAAAAACAGATCGAAATAATATAGTAGTGATGATAATGATAAAAAATAAACATTGAGAATATAGTTTTAAAAGACAATATGGAAAGGTATATACAAGTAAATGCTGGAGCCTAATATATAGAAGATAATGAGTGAATTCACTAATGTGATTGTGACCAGTTCAGAGGTATACTACTTAACGTCTTCAAACATTGGTTACAAAAATTATGTGGGCCCTAAACAAATGGATCTGTCACTTCCAATATGGTTCATATAAATATAAATTAATTAGGGAAATCTAAAATCTGGATCTCTCAAAAAAGAGGAGGTTTTATATCCCGTGGAGATTTATGAATGGTAACTTTAAGAACTATTTGTGAACCAATATGATATGTATATTTGTATAATTGTTAATTAACTAAACTATTCATATTGGTGTCTCTCTTATTATAAGCGTTATTTTGACCAATGGACTACTACTGCACGATTTACCACTCTTGAGTTATCCCTAGTCCATTAATTAATGTTCCCCACAATCACAGTCACATTTGGCCAAATCTTGTACAAATGTTATTTCTATTTTATTGGCACGATGTGGTTAGTTTGTATGGTATATAAACCCAGTATGTTTGAGAATAATGATTCATATTGCAGAGGCTACTATTGGTGTTCTCGACTTAACTGGCTGGGCCAGGCAGAAAGCAGGACTCATAACTACTCAAGACTGCTCATACGGCTTTTGTGTATCACTGGTCCGATCGAAAATTCACTCCTCTCTAATTGGCGGGAAACGTCACCTCATATACTAAACAGGGCACGCACTCATTTGATTTAACAATAAATTATACAGAGTCAATGATTCGATGGCTTAATGTTATGTCTTGGTTTGGCCAACCTTTTACTTTCTTCAAACTTACAGCTAGTAACCCTAATAATGAATTTTTTTTACATTGGTTATAGGTTATTAACCATTAAAACTGAATTATTTTTTCTGGCTAGAGTTTTTAGCGAGTTAGATTTCAACGGGATGGGGTCGTTAATCCCATGCCCAACCCTCCTCCTTTACCTGGGCTTGGTAACAGCAGTAACTGTAGAAGAGCTACAGGCGAAGTTGTTAAAATTGAGGGTTGGGATTAATGATTAGTTTATATATACTATAATTCAGAATATTAAACCTGGATCTAGAATTAAAAGTACAGTGAAGCGAAATATCGCTTCATCTCGTATTTCTTAAAACTCATTCACATGTGAATGTTACCTTCAGCAAAAAAACGTCATGTAGTTATTCACTAAAATTGAGTTTTTTATGATACATAGTCAATATACTGGTTTGCTATGGATCAGATAAATGTTATTCTAAATTGATATATACACCATAATATTGAACTTGCTTTCTCAATCCTGATTGGTTTAAGGGGATAACTTAACTCTACCAATGTGTAAACACTGGTCTAGAAGCAACCGTAAAAAACAAATTAATTAATTATTTTATTTTATTTATTTAAACACATAAATATCGGTACAAACGGGCACCAAATATATATGCAATACACAAATCGCATTTGATTTGTGTGAGGTCTGTGGTACTGCTCAGGTGCCCAAACCAAAGCAGGTGATTTTATTAGGGGACCACACCCAGAGCCTTTGACCTAAAGATCTGATCCACAAGGCAGTGGAGCATCGTGAGATGAAGTTTCATGGTAGTCGGTGACCAACGATTGATTCATACGCCATTTGTTCCATCAGGATACTGGAGCCAGCCATGTGCACCATTGGTTTGGAATGAGGGTTTTCCAACTCCCCTAGGTGGACTCGCCTTGTCCATCAACCTGGTTAAAGCGCCGGACATTCGCTTTTCGTCCTTTCAATTTCGTAAACAACGGTTACGCCACGAGTAGGACCTCCCTGTCAGAGGCTATATACACGTGGTCATATAAGAGCATTTGGAGAGGGAGAGCGGACTCTCCCCACTCTCGGCCGTATTAGAGCATTTTTAAAGCTATTTTTATTCTCTTGAACTTCGTCATTATTCTGTAATTACGATCTGATGATGCAGGCCCTACTGTAGTAAATAATCATACATTTTCCTTGTTATCTCAGTTTTAATGATGAAAACACCTTTAGCTATACCTCAAATCATATCACGCACTCTCACGTAATTTACTTAATATATCGTATTAAATTCATTGCGCGCTTGCGCAAGTCTTTAAAAATAAAACAATCATGTGCATTCTAGTAACTAATTACGGACGATGGTTTTTTTGATATAACCGTAGAATAAAATTATTTTCTATTTGGCATAATACGCTTTTGTTATACGACAATCCGATCCATGAACGAGATCTCAATTACTTCCACTAAACTGGGTACTCGATCGATATACTATACACAGATCAGGATCATCTTATACTAGACACAAGATCTGTAACCGAATATAGAGAACTCGAATATACAGATATACAACACTTTATTTAAAACAATTACAAACAACCTACACTCAATGTGTTCACAGTAGATATCAATAGTAAAAAGGGAATCATATATTTAACAGTTAGTAAGTTCCTCCATCAGGGGTAACAGGCGTAATTAAGCTGATTATCTGTCTGTTTACATTCAATAGCTAATCACATATTACTTTGACTAAAGTTTATGCTATCTTTCACTGGATTTTCGAATTTCGAGCAATATTGTATTGATGTTATCTTGGATATGATTGGTTGCTTGAAGGTCATCATCATTATACAATATAGTTCTACTATGGGTATATCTCTTCTACATATTTTTACTTTTATAATGTTATATTCAATCTTTATAACTTAAGGTATCTTTTTTAATGACGTGAAACATTTTCCAATTTTATAATAGTCTATTATATAATAATAAAAATGATTGTCAGTTAGCTACAACATAAGACCAGGTACATATCTGCATTGGTTGTAATGTTTTGTTAAATGTCATCATTGGGAAAAGAACAATTCTATTTGTTAGATTGTCTATATTTTATTTAGTAATGATAAAGTAGTATAGTATAGGAATGAGATTAAGAACAACTGTTATGAATGTTCAATTTCGTTAAAAAATTTACCTTTAATAAATGGATGGTTTATTGAAAATAAAATAATGTTATAAAGAGTAGATATATTTTACATAATGAATAAATCTGTTAATGTGTTTTTGTTGGGGATGTCAAATCCCCAGAACTTACTTGGTAAATGGCTTAATCTTGTAATTTTATTTTGAAAATTTGAATTTAGCTGTTTTCGCGCCAAAAGCGCTCTTTTTACCTTCATGTTATTTTCCCACTTGTAAACTATCTTAAACGCTATTGGTCCGTTGTTTCTTTGTGTGTGTTATTTACTAATAATGCTCAAGGACAATTTGTTGCTGTATAAATGCGCTTGACTTTTCCCCTTATTGGATTGCTTGTACTCGGCTGCTTACGGAATACATATATATTCCCCTACTTGCCTTGGACTTCTTCATCTAGTTAGCGGGGCCTGGGACAACAGATTAGAATAGCTTATCGTGTCATTGTGTCATTGGCTTTTCGTTCGTTACCGCGGAATCGATTTAGTTTCAGGCATAACAGTTTTACAAGTTGATCTGTCTGAAAGTTGAAAATACAAACACAAATAATTTCATTCTTATGTTTAGGACTGCACCTGACCGTTGCTGCTACCTTGAAGTGGTGGTCGGGCTTGTCTATCGTGATGAACCAATCCAGCTAAACTGGCTGGAACAATCGTTCCTCAAGGTCCTACCATGCCAGACAGGTCAGTTGAAGAGCGGTAAGACTAAAAGTAGCAAAACCAAGGTCTGAAGGCGAAGTCGTACTGCTGATTGTACAGAGGTGTGACGACAGAAAGGTGTTTCCTTCAGACAACCAGCATAACAGCGATGGTTCCTTCCCACAAGGAGGTGTGGGTTTCGAAAAGTTCGATCCTAAAAATGCACACCGTCTTATCCCACGGATATCCGTCTCCGGCGGTAAAGTCCCAACAAGTACGGAGCTAACACAAAAATTACCCACAAAAAGGTCGTGTGTGACCGACCTCATGCAGTTCTCCCTTGGGCACTGCGGTCACGCTATCAGGTCATTAAGACCACTTCTAACTCAATTTCCTTTTCAAGTACCTCCAGAAGAACCCTTCCACAGTGTAAGCAACCGGGAAGTGATAACTGCCCTCATACCTCTAACAGCACTCAAGATCACTGTTTAGGACTGCAATTGGTCAGTCTGTTATTGGCATATGTGCATACTGTACGTATTGCCTTGATTCACAAGCATTATAAGCAAAGATGGATAGGGGCCAGTAGTGGAATCCAGGACGCGCGTTTCGTTCTATTTTGGACTTGTCAACTAGATGTACCATCATCTCAAAGTTTGTGTTCACTCCTGATAGCCACTTGCTTGTGCAATGGGGTAAAGTTTAAATTCACTTAGTATTGTTTGTTTGAATCTACCCATTGATGTAGCTGAGCAGCGGAGTGGATAACGCGATGGCGTTTGAAGCGAAAGGTGCTGGGTTAGAGTTCCATAGTGAACATCAACTCTGAGATGCAGGTACATACAGCTGACGAGTCCCAAATAGGACGAAACACGCGTCAAACTGGATTCCATTGCTAGTCACTATCCATCTTGGTTCATTCTTATGGATATGGATTATTTGTTTTTTCAAAACCTTGTAAGGGATCAAGTAGATTTCTAAGAGTCTCGATGTTCTTCTTGGTTAAAAGTTAGATATTTAGGATAAGGATTAAGGGGTTCCATGTCTAGAGTTTTCAACATGAACTAACATCAGCCATCATGTAAAATAGGCGTACTGTAGCCGTATGGATGAATAGATTTCACTCAAAAATACAAGGGGTATTATCTGATTACCTCGTTCATAAAGTATGGTGGGATCAAATTAAGATTTATTTCCGGACCGAGGAGGAGTCTCATCACTTCCTCTCCAATTGCTCTAATACGGTTTCGCGTAAACAGTCGGCACCAGGGAAATTCAACTCATTACATTCTCTCGGCGGGAGCGCTATTTACTGAGTTAATAGAAAGATAAGTGAATATCCAGCGCGTAAGTCGGGTTAGTGAATACGGAGCATATAGCTTGGGGAGTTGGAAAATTCTGATTTAAAACAATGGTTCATAAGGACTTCAGGGTATTGATTGAATAAATGGGGTATGAATCTTTTCTTAGTCGCCGGCTACCATGGGATGGAACCTCCTAAGTTTGCTCAACTTCCTTGTGGATTAGATCTCAAGATCAAAGACTCGGGTAGTATTCCTCTTAGAAAACCATTTGTTTCGTGTTTGGGTACACGGATAGTATTTCAGACCACACACAAACCGCATGATTTGTGTGACCTATGCATATTTTGGTATCCATTTACGTCAATGTTTATGTGTTTCAATAAGTAAATGAATAAAATAGAGAGAGACAAAATTAAGCATTTGATACGAACAATATCACCATTTTACTCGATGGAGATAAAAACATATGATTTTTTCAATATCAATATGCATTGAAAAAAATGAACATTATTCAGATGTCGATTAATGAGCTGCTAACATCTAACTGGCGATCATTCCATTTTCATCATCACGATCGATCAAGAAATAAGAACAGGAGACTTGTTGAAATACTTAGTGATGAGAATTCTATGTTGTACCAAAAATATAATATTGAATAAGGCCATTAATAATAATAATAACATTCTGAGCAGTATAAGATATACAATAGTGTTTCTACTGCACCTATGCATAATACTTGAATTTCACGTAAAAATCTGAAATTCTTGGTTCTCGTTTATGATTAGCTCATCCTTGTATACTATACTTTGACCCAAATTTTCATTCATAATAACAAAAAAAAGTAAACAAAACTAACAAACATTGTAAGCAAAGATGGATAGTGACTAGCAGTGGTGGGATCCAGTTTGACGCGTGTTTCGTCCGATTTGGGACTCGTCAGCTGGATCTACCTGCATATCAGAATTGATGTTCACTCTCGGACTCGAATCCAGTACCGTTCGCTTCAAACGCCATCGCGTTATCCACTTAGCTACTGATTCCTGATATTCACTTGTTTGTGCAATGGAGTGAAGTTTGAATTCACTTAGTATTGTTTGTTTGAATCTTCCCATTGATGTTTAGGACTGCAATTGATCAGTCTCTTATTGATATATGTGCATACTGTGCATATTGCCTCAATATAGCCTTAATTCACAAATATTATTCAACTTAATAATAAATAATAAACAAAGATGGAGGATAGTGACTAGCAGTGAAGTTACGGACACGAGCTTCGTTCTATTCTAGGCTCATCAATCAAACAAAAATACAAAAATGAATTCATATTACATTTATAAACTTTTATAGTTATATTACCTTTCATTTAAACAATTATTATCCATTGAAGATATTTGTTGAGATTGAGAATGATGAATAAACGACTGATGAATTATATTTGCTTTAAGATAATCTCGTTCATTCATTACTTTCAATGGAGTTAAACTATATTGATTATTAATATGATGAGGGAATTCTTTAACCATTGGTAAACAAGGATGTTGTAATAATTTACAATTATTGATTGTTGACAATATTGATAGACATGAAGAGAATTTTTTGTTGATAAGAGGAAATTGATTTTTTGATGATGTAACAGTATTATTATCATTATCCTTAGTAGTAGTATTAATAGTAGTATCGGTATTGATACATTTTTCATTCATATCTTTGATTGATTGTAATTTTCTCAAATAACAAAATAAAGAATCTTGACTAATGGAACGTTTCAATCGATAATTAGTCTGATCATATTTAGATGTCAAGGGATTATCATTTAATGATGAATTTTTGATAGGATCAAGCCAACTTCTAATGTTAACAGGTATTCCAATTGTCTTGTCTTCTTTAGATTTTTCATTGTCAATCTAATGATAAATAAATGACTTATTACAATGAATAAAATATACATGTTCAAGAAGATACATACATATATAAATTGGTGAACGGTCGCTCAAATCGTGGATTGGTTGAAGTTAGATATTAACACCGTTGGATGCCGGCCATCTCAGTGGTCTATCGGTTAAGTACTCTGGCTCGAGAATGGTAGGTCCTGGGTTCGAATCTCGCGAGTGCGGGGTCGTGGATGCGCACTGTTGAGGAGTCCCATAATACAACGAAACGGTCGTCCAGTGCTTCCAGGTTTTCCATGGTGGTCTAGTTTCAATTGACTAATGATTTTAACAGTGAAAATATATAAATTACCAACAATATACTTGTATACTCTGCCTAGGGATACTGTGTGGCTGCCCAAATCGAAGTAGATGCAGATACAGGATTCGAACCTGCAACTTTATGATTGAAGGTTAAATGCTTTCACCACTGGATTCACTACTCCACATATATGAATAGTAATTATTTCAGGCATTTCTTAAGAAAATAAAAGATCATGTTAACCCGATTATTAGAAGTTCAACTTGAATTACTTATTTGTAATCGAATATATATATCTTAAATTCAACTTAGTATTGTTTGTTTGAATCTTCCAATTGATGTTTAGGACTGCAACTGGTCAGTCTCTTATTGACCATATGTGCATACTCTGCGTATTGCCTCGATATAGCCTAAATTCACAAGCATTCTAAGCAAAGATGGATAGTGGTTAGCAGTGGAATCCAGTTTGACGCTTGTTTCGTTCTTTTTGGGACTCATCAGCTGGATGTACCTGCATCTCAGAGTTGATGTCCACTCCGGAAAGGACTCGGACCCAGTACCTTTCGCTTCAAACGCCATCGCGTTATCCACCCAGATACTGAGTCCTGATAGCCACTTGTTTATGCAATCAGGTGAAGTTTAAATTCAACTTGTTTTTGAGTCAGTGGTTCTATCTTTTAGCTTCTGCCGGGATAAGATGTAGGTATTAATTCTTTTCAATGAAATGCTCGTTCTAGTGATCACATGAACAGTTCCGATAATATAGTTCATTAAATTAATTATTAGGTTATTATAAATATATAATAAAAGAGATGGAGAATTTTCTAGCGTCTAATAGTTAGACAAATTGTAGTAACTATCTCATATATCCCGATAAGAATAATGAATGGTAACTTTGAGATCCATTTATGGATGAATATAATGCATATATTTTTTGTCGTATAATTGCTAAATAACTAAACTATTCATATTCATGTTCCCCTTATCATGAGCTTTATTTTGACCTATAGACTATCATTATACAATTCTTGAGTTATCCCTAGTCTATTAATTGCTGCCTCACACATTAACAGCCACATTCGGCTAAATGTTGTACAAATGTTATTTTCTATTTTATTGGCATGATGTGGTCAGTCTGTTTGGTATATAAACTCAGTATGTTTGAAATATAATGGTTCATACCGCTGAGGCTGTTCTGGACTTAACTGGCTGGGCTAAGCAGAAAGCAGGACCGATACGTACTCTAGACTGCTCGTACGGTTTCCGTGTGCCACTGTTCCGATCGATAATTCGCTGCCCTCTGATTGGCGGTTTTATCACTTCATACGTTAGCAAGGCATCCACTCGTTCACTATCTTTTTTTAACAGAACCTGCTTCCATCAGGTGTTGATTATGATTATAAGTGATACTGAAACTCTTTTACCCTATAGTGTTGAGTTTATGAGTTTCGTGACGAATAAAATTGCCACTTAGATAAATATTCTAATGAATGACGAATCTCTAAGGTAAGCACCTTCATGCATTAAAAATGACAATATCTCATGAGGAATGTTTCATTTAAGTAGTAAATAAACGGGTTATGCTGAAGTAATAAGCATTAAGATATGATTTTTAGTAAATTTAAATAATTGATAACAGTGGAATCCATAATGCAAGTTTCATCTTGATTGGGACTTGTCTGTTGGATATACTTGTATTATAGTGTTGACAAGCAACCATCTTTCAACTTTTCTACTCAATGGCTTAAACGTAAAACATTGCCATTGAGATCAAAGAGTCCTTTTAATGCAACCCCTAATGGGCTCGTAAGTGTGTGCAGCTGAAGAGTTCGAAACCAGGATGAAATAACTATCCAGTGCTTTCCGGTTCACAATGGTTGTGTAACTAAGGTTTAGTCTGTGTTTCAGGAATGATTTTAAATATGATTGACTTTATCAGTAGAAGTGATAATGATAAATAACACTTATCTAGAAATAATATCATTATCTTCTTTTCTTACCTTAACTGTTATTTTTGGTAAACCGGTTTTAAACAACATTTCATTATCTTTTATCATCGTTTTTTTATTGTTTATAGTTGAACTTAACATTACATCGGATTGAATCTTGTTGAGATTATTGGTTGAATTATTGTTGCCCTTCATATTGGAAGTAGCAGTAGTAGTGTATGTGGTGGTGACATCAGTTGTACTACTACAGGTAGTTGTCCTAGTGTCTCCTAACTGATGATGTACAGATTTCACTGATGAAGATGAAGAAGTGACATCAGTCCAATGATCATGATGATTACAGAATGTTTGACTATCTTTATTATTATTGTTATTGTTGTTGTTGTTGTTGTTGTGAATATCACTTGTATGAGTGAAATCCGATCTTAGCATATTTTGTTCTGGTACATTTTGTTGATGACCTCCTCGTACTACTTCATTGTCAGTTGTTATTACAGAGTCATATGCTGGCGGTGGAGGAGGAGGAGGGATATTTACAAGTTGATGCAAACTATTTGTACTGGTAAATTGTTTTTTAGTGTTATACAGACTGGAAATAAAGAAAGGAATAATAATAATAAACAATAAATAAATTTTACATATACAGTTAAATGCCATCTATTTTTGTATGGATAACTTTTAAGATATCTAAAGTTTCCTTAAGAAACTATGAATAATTAAACTTATTAAATACATACTAGTAGATATGAGCCAATAATATTATATACATTTTGTACTGGTTGTTTAAATCTTCCCATTGATGTTTAAGACTGCATTTGACTAGTCTCTTATTATCATATATGCATACTGTGTGGATTGTCTTAAATCTGAACTCAGTAACTTAGTAGATAACTCGAGAGCATTTAGAGCAAATGCTACTGAATTGGAGTTCCGGAGTGAATGTCAAATATAGAATACAGGTATATCTAACTGATGAGTCCAAAATAAAACAAAACGCGCGTCCTGAATTCCACCGCTAGACACTATCTATTTCTGCTTACAATGATAAAATAGTTATTCTATCTATTAAATTTTACTTAATTAAGATAAACAATGTGTACGTAAGTACAGCATGTTTTTGATAAATACTTCTACATGACTGACATCAGTATATGATTACATTCACTTTTTGTAGTCATCCGTTAGTTGTTAAAAAATTCGTGTATTTTACAATTTGTGCGTGTTGACGATCTAGACTTCGCGGATGATCTGACTCTTCTATCACAAACGCAACAACAAATGCAGGAGAAAACGACCAGTGTAGCAGCAGCCTCAACAGCAGTAGGTCTCAATATAAACAAAGGGAAAAGCAAGACTCTCCGATACAACACAATATGCACCAATCAAATGACACTTGACGGAGAAGCTTTGGAGGATGTGGAAACCTTTACATATCTGGGCAGCATCATTGATGAACACGGTGGATCAGATGCAGATGTGAGGGCGAGGATCGGCAAAGCAAGAGCAGCATACTTACAACTGAAAAACATCTGGAGCTCAAAACAATTGTCAACCAACACCAAGGTTAGAATTTTCAATACAAATGTGAAGACAGTTCTACTGTATGGGGCGGAAACGTGGAGAAATACGAAAGCCATTATCCAGAAGATACAAGTGTTTATTAACAGTTGTCTACGCAAGATACTTCGGATCAGATGGCCAGACACTATCAGCAGCAAGTTACTGTGGGAGACAACAAATCAGATTCCAGCAGAGGAAGAAATCAGGAGGAAGCGCTGGAAGTGGATTGGGCACACTTTGAGAAAATCACCAGATTGCGTCACAAGACAAGCCCTCATATGGAATCCTGAAGGTCAAAGGAGAAGAGGAAGACCAAAGAACACATTACGCCGAGAAATGGAGACAGACATGAGAAGAATGAACAAGAACTGGATAGAACTAGAAAAGAAGGCCCATGACAGAGTGGGTTGGATAAAGCTGGTCGGCGGCCTATGCTCCATTGGGAGTAACAGGCGAAAGTAAGTAAGTGTGTTGGCAGTGGTGTAGAAGACGAAATCAACCTACGGATAATGAAAGTCAAAGAGCGGACATTAATCTAATTACGGGCAGAATCTTGAAATGAACACCTTAATGGCTTGAAAATGTTTGACGAATGTTATCACAGTATCTTTAAATTCGTGCAAGTATTCATTTTATAACATGGCATCATAGTATGAAAATAAACTGTATAAGTTTAGTATTTGTCTGTCCGTCAAGACTCGCTGTTGGGAGCCTGGAGATAGTACAACTCATTGACTTGAGATGTTATGAAACATGGATCGGAATAGAAGACAGCAGTAGTTTTCTCTTAAATTCTTTGAAATCATGAGGTGTTTCTTCAACCGAAAGTCTTTTCGTTTATATTTTTGATTCAAATGTTGTTTCCAACAAGATTCACTTCTGTTCACTCATTTGTATCTATTTATTCTTGATGATTGACATAGTGAACAAAGGTGTAAAACTGATTAGAGTATCAGTAACCTATAATATTATACACCAATGTTTATCCAGTAAAAATCAAGTCAGTGTATTCAGACATTAATTTATTGTAGAGGTCTAATCAATTTATTATTTTATTTATTTAAGCACAAATATTGGTGCAAGGAAGCACCAGATACATATGCGCCACACAAATCTAATTCGATTTGTGTGAAGGCTGTGATACTGCCCAGGTGCGCAGACTGAAGAAAGTGGTTTTCTTAAGGGGCCACACTCGGAGCCTTTGACCTGAATGTCTGATCCACAATGCAGTGGAGCATCGTGAGATGCAGTCCCATGGTAGCCTGTGATCAACGGTTGATTCGTACGCCATTTGTTCCATCAGGATACTGGAGATCATGTGTACAATTGGTTTGGAATGAGGGTTTTCCAACTCCTCTAGGTGGACTCACCGTGTCCACCAATTCGGTTAAAGCGCCGGACATTCGCTTTTCGTCCTGTCAATTTCGTAAACAACACCCCCGCCAAGAGAAGGCAGTGAGTAGGACTTCCCTGGTAGAGGCTATATATTCGCGTGGCCATGTGAGAGCATTTGGAGAGGGAGAGCTGACTCTCCCCACTCTCGCCCGTACCAGGGCATTTGGGGGCGGTCTAATCAATCCTTATCTATTATTATTATTATTATTATTATTATTATTATTAATGGCTTTATTCTATATTATAATCTGGTACAATGTAGAATTCTCAGCACGAGTTATTTCAACAAGTTTTCTCCCAAAAAATAAAACCAAAAAAAACAACAACAAAAAACAGAAATAAAATATAAAAAAGGTTTAAGAAAATCTGAGTTTATACAAATTATCGAATATGAGACATGCTTATCTTCCTGTTCTTACTTGTGTTGCCCGATGCACTATTACTAGTCGCCGGTAGCAAGTATATATTTTCACAAGTAACAATAATTATACTACTCCATCGAATACTTAATCTATTTCTTGCCAACTTCACTTCATTATTTGTATGGTGTATACATATTTTGATGCCCAGTTGTACAGGTATAGAACCCTAACTGTCTGTATATGTTTAAATTTATTAAGACCTTTAATTAATTTATTCAGCATTATATCACGTTAGGCTCGCAACTTTAATGTGGTCGGATAGTTAATGATGTAGACATCGTACATGCTCCGTCGACAAATCCCGTTAATAACAATGTAGATATAAAAAATTGAATGGCAGAGTTTCGGATATACCCACTCTGCTTCTCATCTCTTTATCTGTCTGCCTTAATGAACACGCAAAGTCCACCTAGGGGAGTTGGAAAACCCTCATTCCAAACCAATGGTGCACATGAACTCCAGTATCCTGATCGAACAAATGGCGTATGAACCAATCGTTGGTCACCTACTACCATGGAACTGCATCTCCACACGATGCTCCACTGCATTGTGGATCAAATCTTTAGGTCAAATTCTCCGGGTATGGCATCTTAAGAAAACCACCTGCTTCGGTTTGGACACCCGGGCAGTTTCACAGCCCTCACACAAATCAAATGAGATTTGTGTAGCGCATATATATCTGGTGCCCATTTTTACCAATATTTATGTGTTTAAATAAATGTTTATAAAGGATCCATTAATTGAATAAATTGTTCCATAACCTAATGCATATATATATATATATATATATATATATATATATATATACATTAATTACACTATACACTTTTTGCCAGGTAATTCATAAATTGTATTCATTTTTGAAATGACCTAACCAACGGATCCATTTATTTAAACAAATATCATCATGAACAATGAATTAGATTTAAAACAAACAAACAAACAAAGACGAATAGTAAACAACAATAATACTTACAGTGAACTTGGTTGTATATTACTACTGTTATTATTATCATTAGTAGTATTGTATAATCCATTATAAATAATAGATGAATCGGTTAATTGTTGATCTTTTAATTTATATTCCAACATTGACAATGTTAATGCTCGACGTAAATGTTGTTGATGATGGTAGGATTTTAAAAATTCTATATTACCATTTATGGATGATGAATAAAGATTACCACAAAATGGACATTTTTGTTTTTTATTACTTCGTGAACTACAACTACTACTTATATTATTATTATTAGTAGTAGTAGTATTAAATAGACTATTATATATAAGATAACCTAAATGATAAATCTCATTAAATTGTTCTAAACTACTTAGCTTTGTAAAATAATAATGATTTTTTAATAATTCCAATCTATCTATATTACTTTTATGAATGATATCAGTAGTATGAATAAGTGAATTTGTATTATGATTACTACCAATTGATGATGGTAATATGAATGATGATTGTAAAATAGGTTTAGTCAATTTGAAATCATTACGTCGACGATAATAGAAATCATTTAATTTACGTCCTAATGAAAATGTGGACAATGTTGAAAAAGGGAATTGTTGTTTATTTTGATTAGTAGTAGTTATACAATCATTTGTATTTTCTGTATTAAAGAATTGAAGTTTTTCACTGTCACCGATTCTTGTTTCTTCAGTTGAATATTCTTGATTTGATTCATTTTGTTGTTGTTTTCGATTGGTATTGAGTTCTTGAATAAGCGACTCATAGTGTAAACGTTCTCTAGAATGTTTAAAAAGTAGGATGAGGAGGAATGAGTAGTGAAATATAACGAAAACAGACAGTCGCATGCAACCTAGATCCTGGACACGGATATATGTATCAGTTTAAGTTGGGATACAATATCAGCACAGAGAGATTAATGTCAGAATAATACAACTAGTAACAGTATTAGCGATAACAGGAAAGATTGAGCATATATAATATCAATCGAGTAGATAGAATGAATTAGTGACATCGAAGGTACTAAGTAATTTAAAAACAGGACCCAGTGGAAGACAAAGAGTAGATTCGTCTTTCGCATTGTGATTGATTCTGAATTATATCACTCAGTGTCATGAACAATTGGTTATGATAAATGCGTGGACCACAACCAGGTAGTCTATACCTATTAATATAGCTAAGCCTTATAGCCAGTTAGTGATATCATATCTTGGTAAAGCGGTCCCCTAGCTCTTTTCCAACTTACTTTTACACCAGTCAAAATTCGGTGTGTGAGAACCCGGGTTTAATAAGACCACTTCTCAGATTAACAGCTATTTTAGAAAGTTTAATTACAACAACACACGTAATGCTATATCGTGAGAAGAACTGAATAATAATGTTAATAATAATAAACTGTAATATTAAATTCACTTAGTATTGTTTGTTTGAATCTTCCAATTGATGTTTTAGGACTGCAACTGGTCAGTCTCTAATTGGCATATGTGCATACTGTGCGTATTGTTTTGATATAGCCTTAATTCACAAGTATGGTAAGCAGAGATGGATAGTGGCTAGCAGTGGAATCCAGGACGCGCGTTTCTTCCAATTTGGGACTCGTCAGCTGGATGTACCTGCATCTCAGAGTTGATGTTCACTCTGGGACTCGAAACCAGTATCCTCGCTTCAAACGCCATCGCGTTGTCCACTCGGCCACTGAGTCCTCATAGCCACCTGCTTGTGCGATGGGGTGAAGTTTAAATTCAATTAGTATTTTTTGTTTGATGTGTTAGGACTGCAACTGGTCAGTCAATATTGTTAAGAGAGGTAGTCATTTTAAACCACTCTAATGATATGATTTAAAAATGAACAAAAGGCAAACTTTTATCCTAAACATACTATTAATGGTCACTTGATATGAAATATTTCGTACATATAGAAATCTTGTGAGAACCATAAAGAAATTAATCTGACTAATTATCGTATGCAAAATGAACTAGGGCTTGTGAACAGTGAACCTCAGGAAACTAAACTAGTTCAAAACTTGGACGTGGATGTACCGACTAAATATATTTGCCTTTTGTCAAACTCTACAACGCCGAAAAATCCAACGATGTCCAATTATGGTGATTTTTCTTGACATTAAGGCAGCTTTCAACGACGTTGATAGATGTTTTATAGAAGCGTCCGTTATTGAAAAGCATACAAAAGGAATAGATCGATCGAGTACAGGCCTCTTTACTCGAACATTACCAGTCGAATTATAACTTACAGTGAAAATCCGTAAAAAATGTAGTCTTATGATCACTTTGAGTAACAATATAAACATGTTTGAGATGTGTTCCTAATCTTTTAAAGCCCCCAAATGCCCTGGTACGACCGAGAGTGGGGAGAGTCCGCTCTCCTTCTCGAAATGCTCTTGTAGTATCAGTTTATATGTTAAGCCCATATACTTTATCCTAGCTACTGGCCAAGCCAATTCGCCTGTCATGAGTCATCTTTTGATCTTGTTAATCATTTGCTTATAAACCTTGACTATACTTTTATATGAGCATATATGTGTAAACTTCGTATCTTATTCATCGTATGTCTGTCACTCACTTTTGTCCGACTATAAATGTTGATTAACGCTTGCTTAAATTGAGTTGGCTTCCCAGCCATCTCCACTACGCATCATCCATTACGCATGATCTTTGCTTCGTTCCTCTCTCATCTATTCGCCTCATCACTCTGATTCCCTGGACAGACCAATGAGTGTAGAAATTATATGTATTCTAAATACATTCTCGTATTTGACTTATTTAACTCCGTTAATAACCAACGCGGATCAAGTCATTTATTATATACGAGTATAAACAGAATCAGATTTAGGCCACTACACTCTCACATGGCCACGCATATATAGCCTCTGCTAGGGAAGTCCTACTCACTACCTTCTCTTGGCATTATTGTTGTTTACGAAATTGAGAGGATGAAAAGCGAATGTCCGGCAAGAGCTTTAACCGGGTTGGTGGACATGGAGGGTCCACCTAGAGGAGTTGGAAAACCCTGATTCCAAACTAATAGTATACATGGGCTCCAGTATCCTGATGGAACAAATGGCTTACGAATCAATCGTTGGTCACAGACTACCATGGGACTGCATCTCCTTACGATGCTCCACTACCTTATGGATCAGATCTTCAGATCAAAGGCTCTGGGTGTGGCCTCCTAAGAAAGTCACCTGCTTCGGGTTGGGCACCCGGGCAGTATCACAGCCCTCACACAAATCAAATGAGATTTGTGTGGCGCATATGTATCTGGTGCCCCCTTGTACCAATATTCATGTGTTTAAATAAATAAATAAATGTAAAATATGAATTTAGGAGTAATTTGCATTAACATTCAAGCTAATGATAGGGCAGTTAAATAATTGAGCACAGATTATAGAATCTATTGTTGAAATAAGCTTTTAACAATACATTTACAAATGACTTCAATAATACACTCTTAAAACAAATTTAACTTTCTATACACATGATAAGCTGTTGTGTTGTGTTGTATCCGACTCTGATAGTGATACGCAAACTTATGATAGACGAATGAGATCAAGAATGTGATGGGAGCTTTTATTGACTAACCAGATCGAGAAATGATTGCATATATATATATATATATATATATATATATATATATATATATATATATTTGAAATTTAAACTACACTTTCCACGAATCGCATGTATGTCATTCTGTAAAACTGGCAGCTATGTATCTTGACCAATCACGTGCGCTTAACATTCAGCCAATTTTTGATTCGTCCACTACAACAACAGCACATTTGACTTCATTCATAACAAATAAACAAAATAATAAACCTCATAAGAGATTTTGCAAAAACTAACCGTTCAGCTTTACGTTTTTCTTCTTCGCATTCAGCTAATAATATTTTTAATTCCATATATAACTCATTAGCTCTTTCACGTTTATCATCATAACAACGTCGAATATCTTGTGCATGACATAATTCTTCACGTCGACGACGAATTAACATCACTTCAAGTTTTGGTGTACACTGACCTTCAAGTCGAATATCCTATTAGATAGGTTTGTATGAAAGAAGATTCAGGCAAATAATTAAATGGAATGTTAGATAGCCTCATTATCAGTTAAGGATAGATACTAAGTATATTATATTTCCAAATAATTAACCATATCAATAATGCTTAGTCTTTTTCATTATTATTGGTACTGCGTTACTTCAATTACTTGTCCCTGTTTATCTTGTGTTAACTTCCTTTTGTCGAGCAAATGTGATACAGTCATTTAGGCTACAGGACATATGTGTCAGGCTCTATGTTGATCATGACCGACCGAATGATCACAAATATCAAAGCAATATCAGTTGTTTATTTACCAGGGCAAAGACGGACCTGTGTTTCTCTGTAATGCCCTGTAGTTAGTGAGCCATGTTTATGGGCTAAAGCGGGCGGATAAGTAGAGACCGGGCTAATCACCCACCCTGTCTTAAAACATGATTAATAGCAAGGGGGATATTGTGGAGATAAGCGTGAAATAAAGAGCTGGAGAGAGAATTTACCTTTAGCTGCCTAACCGGACTCACTTTAGAGAGGCCCATTGAGACTGGCAGGGGTGAGCTAGAACGTATGACAATAAATTATGCCGTAACCAGAACACAGGGATCGACACTAAAATTGCTTTTGGTATGAGTGGGAAGTATCGTCAAGTGACGACTCAAAGCACAATTAACTTGATTACCTGTTATTCGTTCAGAGTTTTGTAACCTCTGGGTTACGGTCTGGGGTGAATTGCATCTTAATCTCTTTACACACTATGGAGTATGTAGGGCTCAGTCCATGCACTCCATGTAACGTATATTTGCAAGCGGAAGCATCTATATCTGTGTATAATATAGAGTGTACATTCTAGATATAAATAAGACACATACTTGCGGCAGTACCACGTCCCATACTGGTGCATTTATTATAGCTCTAAACGCTTTTGGGTTGTTACAAAGTTTCCACATGTGACAGGAAAGTGTAGACTGTTAACGTATCCGTCTACGCTACATAAAGTATAGCTGAATCGAAGTCCCTACTTACAAACGAAATATAAAAAAGTAAGCTGCTAACGTGTCCGTTTGCTTTGTCTTCTCCAGTGCTCTAATCGCGAACCCCTTAGAAAGGCTCTTTTTTCCCAAGGAGCCTAATGAGTTCCTCTACTTAGTTGGGCATTGGTTCATTAACTGTTGAAATGGCAAACTCGTTTGTGCTAAACCAACATTGGGAACCTGAAAGCACTAGAGGGTCGCTTTGTCCTCTTACGGGACTTTTTGATGACAATGTGCGTCCACGATCCCGCACTCAGGAATCAGACCCAGGACCTTCGATCTCGTACGGACGCCTAACCCCTAGATCACTGGGCCGGCATTTGACAGTGTTAATGTCTAGCTTCAATCAACCCATGATCTTGTGTAACCTTTCATCCGTTACCTGAGATGAATAAATTTATCACACTCTAAACGGATGGGTTGTGCATGAGCGTTGTTGAGGAGTTCTACATTGGGACGAAATGGGTGTCTAGTGTTTCTAGGTTTTCAAAGGTGATCTATCTCAGACCAGTTAGTGATTTCAACGGTGAACATAGTACAATCTCCCCAAACCCTCCATACTAATATTAATCTAATTAAGTTGATAAACATAATTTTAAATATTCGGTAGAATGCCATACCAATGAAATTAAATGTGCCAAAAAACCGTTTGTAAAAAAGTTCCTACTTCCTCCAGCCATCGGTTAATACGGCAGGAGAAAACGAAAAACAAGGACCCTCACATACTTGAAGGTAAACAGTGATTTCTTCTTTCCATAGTTGACGCAATGAAATGAATTCATCATCAGTGTACTGTAGTAAACGTGAACAGGTTACATTTAAATGTGCTAGAATTTGACGAAAACTGGGACGATTTCTTGGCTTGATATTCCTTTTTTCATTAAAGCGAATAAAAAAAGATGGAAATAATATCTGATTATCATAATTAAAAAGTACAGTAGGCAACGTAGAAATTTTAAAAACAAAAAAGGTAGACATATGCAAAGAAAAAGCAACACAGAGCCCGGCACACATGTATGTGCTAACCCAAGTTTTTATACCACACTTATCACGAGATGAGATGAAGTTAACCAACAAAGTAGCAAAAGAGATCGAAATAATACATTACCAATGATAAGAAGAAAGACTTAACACCGTGAATAAGGTTTGAAAAGACGGAGTGGAAAGGTATAGTATGAAGGGATACTGAAGTTCACGACCGAAAAGAAGGTGAAAAGCAACGAATGTACCTGTATCATTATTGTGAACGTGATTCTAGTCTACGTCACCTAATGTATTGAACCGCTGATCAGGGTTATCATGCGAATTTTAATCAGGTAGTTTTTAACTACTTGACGGGTTCAGAGTATGAACAAAAAATAAGATAGTATTATGGTGTATGCTACTTATGTTGACAGATACAACAAGTATGTAACATTGATCAAAATTGGAATGTCTGACGGCAAAAGGTTGAGAAGGTCGAATTAAAGAAAACAGGAACGTAAACAGAGACTAATTGTAATAATAACTGGAATAAAAGAACGATGAAGTTTGTAAGTCAGTCAGTCATAACGTAGAACTTCGTACGTACGTACATCAGTTTGAGTTGCCATACCACATTAGCACAGAGATGCAGTTGTTGATACAAATCTTATAGTGGTAGAAGTAGTAAGAGTATAAGCATTATGTGAAAGATTAGGGTTTGAAGATGTTATTCAAGGAGTATAATCCAGTGAAATACATTTGGAAAGAGAAAAAGATAAAGACATGAGGAATTCAGAAAATTAAAATTTGGTAGAACACAAAGAGTGTATGCACCTTCGCCATTGCAAACGATTTTGAGCCATATCATTCAAGGTCTCTAACCATCGGTAGCTATCATCTCGCGGATTGCAACCAGGTAGTCTACACCTACCAACATGGCTCAGTCTTCTTGTCAGTGACTTTATGAATTTGTATCACGTTTTGGTCTGGCAAGATTGTAAAAGACAATTGATGGAAGATGTGCAAATGAAGTATTTAATGTATGATTTTCATATATTATTTTTACAAAGACATTCTGCAACCAAGTCTTCGTTCACCACAGTACGCGCTTCTTAAGTAAATAATTGTCATAATTTACAATGACTATTATGATAAATTAATTTGAAAAAAGATTGTTCATCTGATGTAAATTACTACGAAAATTAAAACAGTGTACTAGAGTAAAACTGGAAAATCATCTGATATTACGGTTAAAACATGTATTAAGTATACCTAATCACTGTATGCCTTGAACACGTGATGTTTGCTGATGGAGGAGTAGATTAAAAGAAAGCTAAAGTTGGTCAAACTAAGGCACGGTATATTATTTTATCAAGTTATTGACAATTGAACTAAGCCATGTTTAGACTATTAAACTGGGGATAGGCACAACTATTGTGCCCAATGTTTGGAGATAATAGGTGACATGGCTCAGAATTAGTCACAATGGCGAAGATGAATTCATTCATTAGATTGCCTTAGTTCTTGAGAGTTTCAAAATTGAATGATAAATTTGTGTTCAGCAAATTCATGTCTTCATTTCGAACTAACTCGTCTATGCCAAATGCTTTTTTTTTCAATACCATTTGTACTGTTGTTGTTTATATTATTCAGAGATTTTGTGATTTGTATACATTTGCACTTATCTCTATTGAATTGACGATGTGTTAACCTGATCTGATTTACCGTTTTGTATATATAAAGTACTTTTGGTTCAATAAGGTCATTCATGTGGTCCTTTAATGAAGATGTTTGTCCATTTCTATATCTTACATTTTCTGGTCAACAAATAGCAGTAGCAGTAAAGTTTTCGATAAGCAACATACTACTTATTGATACAAGTAGTTACTTTACATTAGTACAAAATTATATTGAGTGGACAGTGACAGGATCGAATAATTCACACAGAGCATTTCTAATAAGTCTCAGCAATCCATATCACCAAATTAAAAATGTCTTATCCCACTCTTTCAGGTGAATATTGTATTTTAAGGTTTCTTTGTGAAATACTACCAGTACATTTAAAACCTGGAAGCAGTGGATGGCCGTTTCGTTCTAGTATAGGACACCTCAGTAGTAAGCATTCACGATCCCACAAGCGGGATTCAAACCTAGGACTTTTGATCTCGTGAGAGAACTCTTGGTCTTTAGACCACTGAGCTGGCATCTGAAGTAATCAACGTCCAAATTAAACCAATCCACGATAATGCGCGACCATCTTTCATTGTTTTCGGAGGGTGACTGCCTCACATCCGGCACGGTTGAGCTCCACTGGTCATGGCTTCTCACTAGAACTCCGAAAATTATTCCTGAAAGCCAGTCACTAGTGAGCACATGATAAATGTCAGTATAGGGTTGCGGAGATTGTTGAGTTCTAATCGAGATCATAAACTGATCAATGTTAGATCACAATTGAAAACCTGGAAGCACTGGACAACCGTTTCGTTTTCAATGGTGGTCTAACATTGATCGGTCCATGATCTCAATTAAAACCTGACAATCTCCACATCTCTATACTGACAACCAGAACTAATGGTCTAAAACACATTCTATCAGGTTGGAATGATTCAATCTTAGAGCTCTTGTTACAAGTAATTAGGTCTATTCAACTCATTCTCATCTAAAAGCTTTCAGTGAATTAATTTTGAAAATTATTACTGTTACTTCTTAATCACTGTTATTCCTTACTCAGATCAGATAATATGTAGATAAGAATGTACATTTATGAGTGTTTTATTAAATCACCAGTCTTCTTATACTTCTATGTGTCTGTGGCTCGTGTGTACAGAGGCACTGCAGATCAAGTTGGTTTTTGAAAAAAAATACTTGAATGATTGTTAAAAAACAAACAAGTGAAGTTCTTAATCTACAACGGGGATTTAAAGATGACGAAAATTAGTCACATTATTTTTACTTTCAAAGTTATTCGTTTATATCTGGCTACTGAAATTTTGTAAAGGAATCTTTGGGTTTACAAGAATATGTCAGTGTATTATATTTTATACAATAATATAGAGACAATTTACCTTTTCCAAGTTCATAAGTAGAATACTTCGAAAACTGTCTCCAAACGAACAAAACGTACTGTAAGAAGTTTAGGTTAATTCTGTGCTTGTTTACCTCAACGATTGATGGTGCTACCTTGACGTGATGGTCGGGCATGCCTATCATGATGAACCAATCCAGCTAAACTGGCTGGAACAATCGTTCCTCAAGGTCCTACCATGCCAGACAGGTCAGTTGAAGAGCGGTAAGACTAAAAGTAGCAAAACCAAGGTCTGAAGGCGAAGTCGTACTGCTGATTGTACAGAGGTGTGACGACAGAAAGGTGTTTCCTTCAGACAACCAGCATAACAGCGATGGTTCCTTCCCACAAGGAGGTGTGGGTTTCGAAAAGTTCGACCCTAAAAATGCACACCGCCTTATCCCGCGGCTATCCGTCTCCGGCGGTAAGGTCCCAACAAGTACGGAGCTAACACAAAAAATACCCACAAAAAGGTCATGTGTGACCAATCTCAAGCAGTTGTCCCTTTGGCACTGCGGTCACGCTCTCAGGTCATTAAGACCACTTCTAATCCAATTTCCTTTTCAAGTACCTCTAGAAGAACCCTTCCAAAGTGTAAGCAACCGGGAAGTGATAACTGCCCTCATACCTCTAACAGCACTCAAGATTACTGACTGATTTGCTAGTAGAAGTAGTTAAAACAAGACATGACGTTAGTTCATCAAGTCACTGACTGTTATAGTCTGAATCATGTTGGTAGATGTAGACTACTAGATCAGTAGTTGGATACATTGTGAGTGATATAGTAGAGAATCTTTCATTCTTTATTTTCATTCTAGATATACAATCACAGTATTCTCGTATATATATATATATATATATATATATACCTTTCTGTTGTCTTTCTGAATAATATTCTCAATGTTCAATCTTTCATATCATCACCGCTGTTGCACTACTATTTCATTATTCATTTAGTCACTTTCATCTTTTCTCTTTTTTTAATGTTGAATAGTAACATATAGATCAAGTTCTAACATTGATGGCAACTCATCATTTTATATGATCTATTGGAATGACAAAAATTTGTTAAATAAGAATAAACGACTTGGAATTGAATCACGCTTCATTGAACTGATTCACGAACTTATGCGCAAGATTGGATCTAAATGGCGACTTTCTTTTTTTTGTGTGTGTGAAAAGAATTTCATTTTAAAAGTGAAATGAATAACCTTTTGGATGAAAATTTCGTTTGTAGGTTGTTTCTTTTTTTTGTATTTTCTGTTTGTTAGTATTAAGGAGTACAACTGACCAGTGTGTTTGTTGGCAAATGTTAATATTTTGCTTGAAATGTCTCGATATTTGTATTGAGGTTAGCAGTGATATTCAAAACACAAATTTTGTCTCATATTATAACTCATTATCTAGGTATATCTGTATCTTAGTGTCGATATTTATGCTGAGACACAAATCTAGTGCTTATCGGTTCATACGCCTATACATTCTTTATTAAACTATCGAGTCCAGATTGACATTAACTTTTTAGTCGAATATCAAGGTAATTTTACGACCTTTTCCTCTTGTCATCATTAGTATTAATGAATAGGAATTCAGGTACATCTAATTAATAAATTCTAATTAGAATGAAATCTGAGGCCTATATTATTTCATTGTTAAACACAATACAATGGACATCTCAGAATCAATTAGACGATTTGAACTTCGCAGATGACCCAGCTCTCCTATCGCATACACACGAACAAATACAAACGAAGACAACTAATGTAACAGCAGCCTCTGCATCAATAGGCCTCAACATACACAAAAGAAAACGCAAGATTTTCAAATACAACACGGAGAACACC